ATAATGGTAAATATCACAAATTTTAATTTCATTATAATTAAGGAATAATTTTTATTTCTTATCATAAACACTATCAAAATTTATCTTATAATATTAGATATATAAATCCTATATCTAAAGATGATTATTTTAAAAGATAATTTTTAGTTTTTTAAATATATTAAATCCTAATAAATCAAAATTCGTTGTTTTTACTTACGTGGCAAAATTCTTATATCCCATTCGTCACTTTTGTTTAGGTGGAAAACGAATTTTTTAATTCCAAAATAAAATAGAAATCTAATTTTTAATTGGTCGAAAATATACCTTTATTTATGTGGCGCGCCGAATGCTCTTAAAAAATACCTATTTTATTTATATGTATTGGATTATTATTTTATTTTATTTTATTTTATTTTGTGACGGGAAATATATTAATTGGTTATCAATTGTTATTTGTTTTTTAATATTCTTCCAAAAAATATTTTTTTTCTTTAACATTTTTTTTTTTTTTTTTTTTTGAATGGAATAGGGAGGGGTGATTTCATTAAATAATAATAGTCAATTGACACTTATATCATCCCTTAAAAGATCTAAATTCTCAATACAAGAATTAATAACCCCTAAACTAATGACATCGCTTCTGAAATGCTCTGGATAATTTTAGATTTCTTTGTAACGTTCTTGACGCATGATGTATAGTCGCAAAAGTGATAAAACTTGATTAGTCATCAAGATCTGAAAATTTGCAAGACGAATCTTCTAAATCTGCACCCCTATACCAACAGACCCCCAATTCCACAAATTTGCAAGACGAATCTTCCAAAGTTGTATCCCTACACACACTAAAAACAAACAAATAAACAATACTAAACCCTACATGGAGGGACTGACTATAATCACCATACTGTATATAATTATGTATTTTTTTAATCGTCTAAATTGTCAATCTAAGTATATAATATTTTTTTATTTTTTTATTTTTTTTTGTTGTTGTTGACGGGAAGTATATTAATTAATTTATCAATTGTTATTTGTTTTTTTAATTTTCTTCCAAAATTTTTTTTTCTTTAATAAAATTTATCTAGACCTACCGATTATTGAGTTTTTTTAATTACTATTTCATATCAAGTTTTTTTTTAGTTTTTTTTTATATATAAATAAAGTGAATGGGTATTTTGGGTATATATAATTTAGACACTAGTATATCACTCCTCCCTCCTCACTTGTATATAGATTATATAAGAAAATAAATAAATAAATAAAAATTTGACAATCAAATGGGAGCATCCTTTTCAGTTTAATTGCATAATTATATTACATACTCCATCTGTCTCTTTATTTTTGCCCCATTGTCATTTTTGGGTCAAATTTTGTAAACTTTGATCGTAAATTACCGTTAATCTGTAAAAGATAATATATTCATGAGTGATCTTATTAGATTCGGCTCATTGCATATTTTATTAATATCACGTTTTTATAATTTTTACGTGTATGAAAAATGAAGATATATGTGTTCTAAGATGCGTTTTGGAGACCGTAAAAAGTCAAATAGGACAAAAATAATAGTAACAGAGAAAGTACAAGAATTTCTCAATTGCTTGGTGGTGGCTTGTAAAAAGCTAGCATTGTAGCTTATAATAATAGGCTTGAAGGCTTGAAGCTAACCATCTCACGGAAAGAAGAAAACTGTAAAATGCAAGTGGGAAGAGAAATTCAAGGAAATAGATAGTATAAATTTTCACTTTTTTGGAATTTTTTTCACAAGCAAATTAGTTGGGTGGCCAAGTTAATTGTATAGTTTAGCTCTATTCGTCAAGCTAGTTGCTACAGACTTTTAAAAATTGCAAGCAAATCTTTAACTGTAGCGGTTGGAGTTGCTCTAACAATTAAGACCTCGTTTCTCAAAAAAAAAAAAAAAAAAAAAAAAAAAAACACAATTAGACCAAAACCACGCACGTGATTATATGAGAAAATACAAGTTTCTCAACATGAGAAACATGTATTGTATCTCAAAGGGGTATGTTCGTCATTTTCAGTCAATAAGTTGGATAATATTGTAATTTTGTCTGATAAATAAATGAATTCTGAGCAATAACAGGGCTGCTTCAATGAAGAACTTAAGAACGACTTTCATGGACAGATGTTCGGTGAAGAAATTAAATCGGAGCTTTAACGGAGGAGGATGATGCATCTACCCTTTAGGGTTAACCATGACCCTTATTTCTCCATTGTTTCTTAGGGTTTTCGTTTAATTTGGCGGCGAAGCCGTCGAAACACGGTGGTGGAAATAGTAGTTCACAAGAAAAAAAATCGACAGCTTTAATGGAGATAGAGGTGGGTTGCAGGTTGGGATCTAAGGTAGATGATGGAGTTAATTTGTAGACAAAGATCTGAGGAAGAAGGAGATGAGGGAAAAAAGTAAATAAAATATATAAAATATTAATAAAGTTTGTTTTAATTACAAAATTGCCATGCTTGAGAAATGTTAATATTCCTATTGAGAAATTGGGGCATGCCCTGATTATATTGTTCCTTAAGTCATTCTTTTGCACCTATTTGTTTTCCTCATTTGATTTATCGCATTCTTTCAGACAAATTATAAACTTTTGATACATATATAAAGTAGGTATTGAAACAAATCTCACCGTATCCCACTTTATTTTTGAATAATAGCAAGATCCCAATTGAGTATATTGTCTTATAGATTAGTCAAATTTTTTAAATTTAGACCACAAAAGATTCAACGAGGCAAATAAATAAGACGGAGGGAGTATAATTAACTTACAAAATGAAGCCAAAATAACATATAATCATATCTATTAAAATGAAAAAGTTTATATACTTCGTATTATATCTAAATTGTCAAGTGAAATTTTATCATATTCGTATATATATTGATTATATATGTAAGACTTTTAATGACTTTTACTAAAAGATAATAAAAAATATATAGATCATTACTAACTGTAAAATCGATGGTATTATAGGACAATATACGGCCAATTCTTTGTTAGACATGCAACATACATTCTTTACTCCATATATTGGATAATCCTTAACTTAAAGTATAACCAACATAACTGGAATACGCACTGCTGACATCCTAGTGAAGTATGGAGCTTCATAATTATTAGCAAGCTAAATTATATACTAATAGCCAAATAATAATGTATTGTTATACTAGTATTATTCCATATACAAATAACTCTTAATGTTATTAGCTAAAAATGAGTAAGCAAATTAATTGACAACTAGTTGCTTAATACAAAAGATTTCTAATACGACATCCAATAATTGGCTGTATTGGCTGTATAGATAGTGGCAAATATAAACTTGCCATGTGGTACTCTTTCATGTCCAGCCCAATTTCTTTGTTTAGTCTCTCCTTAATAATGTACTTATTTATGTAATCTATTAGATTATATAATATGGTATATACTATATATATTAGGCCTTAATTATATATCAAACACCCTCCAAAAAAAACAAAAGATAAACTTAACTCTTTTTTATCTAAATAACACAACAAATAAAAATCTTAAGAAATGGGGAATTGCATAGAGCATGAATCATCTCAAGTTATATGGGGAGGGGAAGATTGGACGTCGTTGTTGATGAGCAACGGCGAAAAAAGAGCAGTGAAGATGGAGGAAGAAGAGCTACTAAGGAAGATAAGAGCAAAATACTCGGTATCAAAAGAGGTAAAGGTGAAGATGACAAAGAAGCAATTTGAAGAATGGCTAAAGAAGATAGATGTGGAACAAGAAGGATTGTGTGTTGAACAAACATTGGGCGAGTTGATGAAAGTCGGTGTTCAATGTAAGGTGCATAAAATTTCTTGGAAGCCTAGATTGAAAGTCATTCCTGAAGCTAAGCTAAATTAGTTTAATTTGGTCATTATCTCTTCTTAAATATAATAATATATAGTTAGGTTTTTTAACAAGCAAGGGTTTTAGTTGCTTGATGTGGGTGTATAATGGATTAAATTGCCATTTTTGATAATTTGTATATATTGATGAAGCCATGTTTAAATTTGGGATATTGAAAACTTATTTTTAAAAAATTATTGTTCATTGTTAAGTGTGAATGAATTAGTATTAATGGTATTATTAGTATTATTTTTTAAGGAGGAGTACAATTGTTTACGTACTATCTCACAAAATTACATGCATAGTCTACATTTAAATGTAATTTTTTTAGGCCTTGTATATTATGCTCTCTACATGATCACGTACAGAGAGGATGTAAAATTACGCTTAGTTGCACATAGGATGGATCCTAGAAGGACACGGATTTATATTTTAATTTGTACTTTCATTATGCTATTCCATGATAAGAGATTATAGTAACCTCAGCCATAGTTGCACATACTGTCATGTACTCATGTTCGTTGTTGCCTTCCTTCACTTCTTAGAGGATGATCAAGTGCTCCCACGTTGTTTATTATATTTATTACAAAGTATTTCTTTATTTATTAATTTTCACATAATCTTTTATTATTGTTGCTCCTAATTTAACAATTAGTTATGGTTGCATCCATGTGGTGGTGGACTAGTGGTAGTGTTGAGACTCTTGCATTTGATGGTGGTACGACAGTTGATGGAGTCATCAACCTTTTCGTTGGTTATTCACATTGGTGTTGAAGAGGTAAATACCAATTGTGGTAGAAGCAAAGGGAGGCCGGGAATTTGTGTATTTTGTTTTATATCTTCAAACCCGAGCTTAACATTGTTAGCCACGATGGTATATAGAGAAATCAAAGATGGGAAGGGAGAAAATTTCTCATTTGAGTCCTTTGAAATTTGATCCCTAAATCATAGGAATTTTAGATTTTGAGGTGAGATCGAGCAATACCACTCGAACCTTGTTTAATAATTTTTTTTTTTTGGTGCAATCGTTAGATTTTTTAATTATTTTTTAAATTATTTTTTAAAGATAGCAACTAATGTAGTTATCCAAACATTTTTTTCTTCATTTATATTGCGTATAAGACATGTTAAACTCACAATACATACCTATACAAAACCCTTTACAATTCACATTGAAATCAATCAATCCCCTAAACTTACAAAGTACAATACAATTATCCCATAACATAAACACTTTTTCCAACATGTACATAAAAAAGAATTTAAGTAAGTCATAAAATTTGTACAAGTCATTAAAAAAAAAAAAAAAAAAAAAAAGTTAAACCATTTTACACCAACCTTAGCTTGTTGTAAAACTCAAAAATTTGTACAAGTTAACAAAAATATATATAGCACTAAACTTCATATATGGTCTGCAACATAGGCCTCCAAGACCTATGATATGTCTTACAATGAACACTAACTTTGATCAATTGCGCTAAAGCTTGTTCAACGCACAACCCCTTTTGTTCTACATTCATTTTCCCTAACCATTTCTCCAATTGCTTCTTTGTTACCTTCACCTTCACCTCTTTTATTTTCGACGTCGTTGAACTCTTTGTTTCTTTGCTATCATATGTAGTTGCTAATTCTTCCTCTTCCTTTTTCATGGCCAATTTTTCGTCTTCGGTCATCATTGCCGGCGTCCAATCTTCCCCTCCCCAAATAGCTTGGGATTGTGGCTTTATACAATTCCCCATTGTTTCTTTAAATTCGAATAATTTTGGTGTTATTTTTACGTGCTAGTGTTGTTGTATTTCTAATATTAAAAGTTATGTTTTTTCCTTTCTCAAAATATGTTTGATAAACAAGGCTATAATTTGGATACCATCATCCAGTTATTTGGGAGCCTTTTATACATGGATAATGCACTGTTTTTGAGAAGAGAAGGTCAAAAAAGTCGTCAAACCAAAACAAGTTAATTAGTGTAAATTGCCATGTAATTAAGAATATTAATATAGGATTAGGACGAAATAGTCTTGCCTGGCAGGTAATGATAAACTTTGTGTGCGTAAAAATTTTAGTGTTGACTGACTTGCATATCTACTGTCTGTACAAGTTAAGCATTATATATATGGAATTATGGATAATTATGAATTGTAAACTTTAGAATTTTTGGCCAAAAGCAACTAAGTAGTTTGCATGTGCATGCTGACTCATTATTACTTGTATATTTTATATACTTTTATATATATATATATATATATATATATATATATATATATATATATATATATATATATATATATATATATATATATATATATATATATATTACTCCTCGTTCTTACTTGCTTGTTTGTATAAGATTTAAGGGGACCGCGAAAAATAAAGTAGATTGAAGAAAATAGGTGGCTGAGTGTGAAATCCAATTCAAAATTAAATAAAAGAACAGCAGAGATAAACTATACCATAAGGAAAACAAGACAAGGTATATGAATTGAAACAGTACACCCCGTCATAGAAAACAAATAGGGGATGGATCGAACATTCGAACTACATATTTGGCTTGGTAGATTAATTAAATTCTTAATTTTGATATACAATATAGCCATTTCATCTTGATTCTTGAGACAATTTTAATAAATAATTTTGAATATTGTGGAAAAAAAAATATTATTTACTTTGATAACCTTAATTATATTTAAACAACTCGTCTTAAACTAAATAGAACCATGCATGACCATACTGGAATGAGAGAAAATTGAATCTAAAGATTATAATTAACATGTGTGAAACACTAAAACATAAAGTACCAATGTGCCACTAATTTGTATCTATATTAGAAAAATTAGAGAAATGGATAATTAATCCGATAGACTGATGCACAATACTTCTGTTTTTCTAAGTATTACTCACTTTCCGTTTTCATCATTTTTCTAAGTCTACTTGCTTTGGTCTTTTTATGACAATTTTTTATTAAACTTTTTTTTTTATTTTTTATTTATTTATTATTTTTTTTTTAATCATTTACTATCCGCTTTGTGACGCCCAACTTTATTTAATTTATTTCTCACTCTCTCACCTGATCTGAAACGTGACAATTGAAAATTATAATGCATGCATGAAGTAACACGTTGAATCGAGGAACTAGCTGAGGAAAGAAAGAAAAAGAGATAAAGAGTTGAACAGCATATCAACTTTGAATGTTTTCTCTCCAACATACCAATTGCATCTGAAACTATTCAAGCACATTTTTTTTTTTCCCAAATAAATTGTTCAATATTTAAATAGTTTTATCTTATGTATATAACTAAAGTGAGTACACTTGCTTTATTTAATTTTTTTAGTGAATTATTTAGATTCTCCTAAACTCGAGGGATCTCTCACCAACTGCATCTGATCTCATCATTTATTCAATAATCTTCCTTTTTCCAAGTTTCAAAGCATTATGGCCACCTCACTATGGTTAGTCATACAAAAGTGAGACAATGATGGTGACAGTAATATACGAGTAGTTTGTACCCGTATTAATACACAAATTATATATCGATTTTTGTACCTTCTATTTAGATCGATAAAGTATCTAAATATAATTTTTTTCCTGTATTATAACTTTAATTTTAGGGAAAATTTATAAATTTCATAGTAGATTGAATCTCTTATATAGATAATCAGTTTTCTCTAGAAGTTGTTAGTGACGTGAATTTAAATTGATTATTGAAGTTTCATTTTACTAAGATTGGAGAATATTTCCACATGAACTTTGATGCCATCTTAGTTTTCTTTAGGTTTTTTTGTTGTTCGGAAATAATTTTGATTGTTTAAATTGATACTTAAAATTTGTCCTTGAAAAAATATATATACAAGTTTATTTAAATGTTTATGAATAGACCCCTTTATCTCATTGAGGAAACATTATAATTCTTATCAAATATGCATTAACAAGTTCATCATGACACAACAAAATTGTAGAAATCGGTAGCTTTTATGTTTCGCTTCGACTCAATCTCCTTCTTTCAATATCTCATATCACTCCCTTTGATCTCGTTTTATTAGAGAACCAAAATATAAATAAATATCGGTTATGATTTGATGATAGTATAAAACCTTCTATGATACCCAAAAAAAACAAAAATTCAAAAAAAAAAAAAAAAAAAAAAAACACACTCAATTACGTTTTAGCCAAAATATGTTAGCATTATTTGATAAGGTAGAGTTTGGAGCTTGAGGTTATGTGCTTATTTATTATTTGTGGTAGACTTGAAATTAACTTTCAACCAACTTGAAGCTTACTTGCAAGTGGCTTGGCTCAAGGCCAAATCTAGTCAAAGTTGTCAAATTTTAACTTCTTAATCAGAATTAATTCAATTAAGATGACCAAAAGCAGTCATTTACTTTTGATTCTTACATAATTTTATCAATTTGGTCAAAGAGCCTATTCACCCCACGTGTATACGATGTATACTAATCAAAATTCACTAACCTTTTGCTAACCTCCTCTTTTCTAAGTCTATGGGCAAATTTTGTCATTGTCGACTATTTATTTGTTTTTATTATAATGGACTACATTATAATTTAAAATTAGTAGAAATCAACTTAATTAATGAGCGATATATCACGTAGGTTGGAATAAATCTTGTCTACATCTTTGTCATACATCTCTTGGCATTAAAATGTAAATATTATTCAATATATTTTGTATTTCTCTATTATAAGAGGAATTTAAAAGCTAGTGACCTCATTTTAATATTATACAAAATCCAATTAATTGTTTGACAATTTTATACGTAACTTAAATGAGTAGGGTGTGATTGAAACTATTTATTGGTTGGTATATAATTTTTTTCTATAAATTGTAATTGTTTAATTGACAATAATTATGTTTACTTGAAATATGGAAATTTACTATCCCTCAAGGTAAGTGTAACCGATTGGTCCGATCCTAAGGTTGTAGAGCTTAGTTATGGTTAAACAAGGATTGGCATTTAACACTTTTAAAGAGGTTAGCTTGTTGAGATTTGTAATTAATTAATTTTACAACTTTGCAAGACAAACAATTACGGAGTATGTTTTTTCTTATATCTAACCAAATAGCCACTTCACTGTCAAAAAAAAAAAAAAAAAAAAAAAAGCCACTTAGGAGATTCAAATCTATTCACGTATTCTATTACGGAGTATTACTTTTTATGATTATTCCCATACCTTGTTAAATTCCATTAAGGGGCCGTTTGGTTGGGGGTATTCAACAAAGGAAAAGAAAATCAACTGTCAGGCAAATTCAATCATTCCCTTTACCCCTCCCATTACCCCATTTTCCTCTATTTTCCTTCCCCACCCCCCCCAAGGGAATCACCCTAACCCCCAAACTCCTCTTCACTCGATTACCTTGACCATCCTCGAAACACCAACTGCCCACCGACACCACCGCCCAACCACTACTAGAACCATCGCCTAGCCACCAACAAATCGCCGACACACTGACGCCACCACCCAGCCACCACCGAAAATACCCAAAACGACCCAATCACCACCGAAACTACCCAAAACCACCAACCCATCAAAAACGTCATCAATCCAAAACTCGTTTCGCGGAAAACTGTCTGGAATCACCAAATAAAGGATCAAACTCATCGAATTCATCATTCCCTGTATCTAACCCATCAATCTCATTAGTCGGGGCGGAACCGGCAGTGACATCATTTGCAGTCGAATCGTTCCTTTTTAACCGCTTCATCTTCGGGTTCTGATCTGTTGGGGTGGGAGTTTTAGACTGTGGAAGTAGCAATTGATCTAAATCACTCTCAGAATCCATGAAAATGGAGGAAAGAGAAAAACAAAAGTGAGAATGAGATCGATTTGAAATTATGAAGGAGTTTCAGGGTGGGGGAAGGTTTTCGGGGGAGGGGAAACCTGTTTGGGAGGAGAGGAAGTGCGGCGAGGGGCGTGGTGGCTGGAGAAGTGGGATAGTGAAGAAAGAGGGGTTTGTATAGTGGTGGTGGTGGTGATGTGATTCCTTTGATTTTTAAACCAAACAACACACTAAATTTGAGGGATTTTCATTCCTTTCTCTTTCATTCCCTTTGTTCATTCCATTCCAATTACCCCCCTGCGAACCAAACGGCCCCTAAAAGTTTATAGATTGAATATAAAATAGATCCATACCGATAATAAAGTCCAAAAAAAAAAAAAAAAAATAAATAAAAAATTGAAGTGTCTTCCAACCATGTATATGATTTGATGTATACAAACGTAAAAAGTTCATAATGAACTATATGTACAACTTTACAACCTACCAAAATACCAACTTGATCAACTATACAATAATCAACCACTGTTGGATTCACCTAACTACCAAAAAAAGAAAAAGGAAAAAAGAAAAATGATAGAGTAAATTACTCTCTCCGTACAACGTACTTGCCTCGTTTGATCAAAAAGCTCTCATGTTCGATCAAATAGCTAGGTCAAATGAGGCAAATAAAATAGGACGGATATAGGAACTAAACTTCGGGAATACTCTGCAACCTAGGCTTCCAAGACTTAAGGTGGGTGGTCTCACAATGAACACTAACTCTCACCAATTGTCCCAATATTTGTCCAGCAGATATCCCTTCATGATTTTGTACGTCCAAATCCATGCTCATCTTCCCTAGCAATTCCTCCAATTGCTTCTTTGTTATCTTTACCTTTACCTCTTTTATCTTTGAACAATCCTTCTTGGTATCTTCCATTATTGTTTCGCCTGATTTTTCGGTGTCGTTCATCATTGCCGGTGTCCAATCTTCCCCTCCCCATTGAACCCCAGAGTCATGCCTTAGGCAATTCCCCATTTCCTTAGATTTTAAAGGAGAAGTAAGGTAAGATTTTTTTTGGGAG